GTTAGAAACACATGCATGAAAGAAAAAAAAACATTAAGATACATATCTAAGGGTTCATTTTCCTGACATCACATTATCTGACCTTTTCCTTTTGACTCATAGATATACTAGATATTGCAAATAAACAAAAATGTTTGGTGAGAAATGTACTCATTACCTTACTCATGTAACTGTAACCCCTCTGTACGGCATCTAAATTTTTAAAAGCTCAAAAAAAAAACCCAAAATTCAAAGTTTAAGAAAATAATCACCAAGGCTTTCATTGGCATCTTCTTCTTCTGGATAGCCAACATTTCTTTATACTATTCATTAGGTCTTATGCTACAGGGTTTTTTCACAATCCTCACTTGTCTAAAGTCACACCATTCAGAAAAGAAAGAAGGCAGGATCAGAGTCTAGACACAGTGACTAGAAGTCTGTATCAATGTCACCCTTTCCATATTTAAATTACCACAGAGCAGAACTTGGTGAGCAGGTTAAGAAGTCTCTAAAGACAAAACAGCCTGCAACCTAAATAAAATAACTGACACTATAAGGAAAATGTTGCCAATTCCTGCTTTTGAAATTTTATACTAACTTTGGTCTGGCAAAAGAGCTTTATGAAAGTGAAGGTTTCTTTCTCCTTCCACTTAAAAAAACAGTCCTAAGCACTAACCGATTCTCTATTTCCTATTTTCCCTATCTCAGTAATACATATCTCTACTGAAGATATTTATAACCAAGTGAAAAATGTTATGGTGGTTATCAGAAGGAAACGAATCTTTCCACTATGGATTATTTAACTTTCAAACCAGAAATACTGTATTGTATTTCACTACTAGACAATTTCTACAAATATTTTTGAGATAAGAACAGCTATTATCAACAATTAACAGCATCACAATTTCTATGACATTCCTTTTGTAATAAATGGTTACTTAAAAACAGTGAAGTACATGCATATATAAATATTAAATAATAAAAGTACTGTTATTGGGTGACATAAAAGTATAGTATGCATATTATTATTATGAAGTAAAATAAGGCTGTTTTGCCATTCTACTTTTCTCCATAGACACAATCGCTACTTCTCCTTTTATAATCCTTCAGCTTCCCAGCTATCAAGTTGTAGGACACAAGTGGTTTAGCAAAGAATCTGTCTACCTATAGATGCTAGCTGTTAGCTGCTCAAGATACTTAAGAAACGTAAATCCTATAAACAAAGTGCTTTAGATCAAACAAAAATATCAATTACATGAAGTACTCTTATAGTCATTTTTGTACTTGCCACACATGAAGGTAAAGAACAATTCGCAGGTAATCAGAACCAATACTTGTTAGCATGAAATTTTTTTTAATTAGCCTTTCTTCTACTGAGTTAAAGTAATCAACTATTATTGCTAAGAGTTCACCCTTATCTGAGGACTGAGGAGTAAAAAGTAAGAATGCAAGTCAAATTAAGTAGTGTTTTATATGGCAAGTGTTCTAAGCATTGATATGCATGCAATTACTGGAACAAAAATAGTTATGAAAGGCTTCATGAAGGTAACCAGGGGCTGTGTTATGAAAATGAGTGCAAATTAGGCAGGTGAAGAAAAAGGAAGGAGATATTTCAGCTTGGAGATATAAAATAAAAACCAGAATAACACCATATTACCATTTAATAATTACATACAATGTATTTTTCTGATTTGGGCCTTTAAAAAGTCCTTCAAATATTTTCTTTAAGTTATAAATATGCTTGTTATCCTAAAATAGCTATATTCCTGACTTCAGTAAGATGTCCATGACCAAACAGAAGTATGACAGAATAACAGCACAGATAATAAAATGTCTCACTTAGAAAATTAATTTTCACTAGAAATCCGTAAGCATACAGAATCTAGAAAAGAGGATATACTTCGTGGTTTTGTCCCTACATATGTATACGACTGATATACAGAAACCAGCTGATTAACTAATCAAATGAGTCTGTTAAATCACTATAATAGGCTTGCAACTCCATTCCCAAGTTGTCTTTAGGAACAGTGAAGTTCTTCATGTCTCAGGGACATTATTAAATTCACATCAAGGGCTATTTCTAAATTTTCTCTAATGGACACAAATTTTGAAACTTTTGATTAATAAAGCATTTATTATCCAAATTTTACTGAATGTCAATCATACCTCAATAAAATGGTCAAAGTTAGGCTAAAAAAGTGTTTTTATTTTTTCCCCACATTTTTTTATTAACTGAACACATGTCAGAAATTTTGATCAACATAGGACAAATCAAAAAGTACCCACAAACTACATACAAATCCAAGTAGAACCAAAAAGCTTGATTACTTAACCTGTGCAGCAGTCTGTGGAAGTAGGTCTTTCTGAAGATTGAAGACCTCTGTTACAACCTTCCCAGACACCTAAAAGTCTAGTGAGCCCCGGTTAGGAACCACTGGTAACCAGTTCATCATACTGTTCATTCTGTCTGACTCAAGTCAAACTATCTGACATCAGTGCTGCTCTCTACTTCAGCTACTTTCACTTCAGTTGACTTTGAATGGTTCTAACTGTTATTCTATTTGCCAAAACTTCTACTGCTGTGTGTTCTACTAGAAAGGACAAATCTTTTTTTTTTTTTTTTTTTTGGGTCTGGTCGTGGGGCCTGAACTCTGGGCCTGGGCACTGTCCCTCAGCTCTTCAGCTCAAGGCTAGCGCTCTACCACTTGAGCCACAGCGCCACTTCGGGCTTTTTTCTTTTTTTCTTATGTGGTGCTGAGGAATCGAACCCAGGGCCTCAGGCATGCAAGGCAAGCGCTCTACCACTGAGCCACCTTCCCAGCCCCTAGAAAGGGCAAATTTTTAAGTTGTAGAAATGTTTTCCAACCATTACTACTTAAAAAAAAAAAAGTCTGGTTTATTTGAACTTACTTTTAGAATCCTAATAGAAATGTAGCCAGAAACCCTGTCATAAACCTGATAATCATGAAACTTAAGTATGATAGCTTCAAATCCTAAATACAATTTTAAATCTGGGGTTCTCAGACACCAGAGGGAACCAATCTGAATGCCATCCTACCACTTCAGCTTATCATCTCCATTTGATGTTCGGTTTCAAAAGGCTGCTTCTATACTAAGGTCTCATTTTGCATGCTTACACTCAATTGTTGATTTGAGGGAAGTCATTTTATCTTGTCTGAGCAGTCCATTATTTCAAGCATCACAGGCAACAATCAAGGTTTGGAAACACATGCTACGAATCAGTAAAATTTAAAACCATCCGCTGAGACTGAAGATACATTCTTACAGAGTAAAATCTCGTATTAGTGTTTCCTAAGATTTAACTTAGCATGTATCATTACAAGCAGTTTAGTTCCAACTCTAGATTCAGCTATACAATGAATACGCAGAAACAAATAATCCATCAGTTTTCAGCAGACAAAACTATCACTACAACCAAAAACTGTCACTCAAAGAACCATACCACTATAGGTGTAATGAAAGTTCCTTCTCTTCAGTTAGATTAGCTCATTTCTCCACATTAAATTTACCTATTTAATTCACCTTAGGTCAAAATAAAACTGACCATGTTAGGCTAACTTTAATTCCCTTCCTCCCCAACAGCAGTCAGTGTTCTTTGGTAAATGCAAAAAGTCAAAAAAGATCAAGTTAAAAGGCAAATATACACATACATGTTGAAGTTTTAGCCAAAAGATAGTTAAAAGGTGAAGGAAAAACTGAAAGATAATTAAAATTTGGTATATCAGTTAGGGTAAGAGTCAGAAACAAATACATAAGATTTTATTCCTTCTTTCCTGCTCTCCAAATGAACACAAAATTATTTCCACTCAGTAAAAAGTTATATATTTCATGTTAAGTTTTAAAAGGTCATAATCCATGTCTACATAGGTATTTTTGTTATTATTATTATTATTTTGTGCCTGTCCAGGGGCTTGAACTCAGAGCTTGGGGGCTGTCCCTTAGCTTCGTACCTCAAGGCTATAAATACCACTTGAGCTTTTTTGATGCTTAATTGAAGAGTCCCACAGATTTTTGTGCCCAGGCTGGCTTTGAACCATGATCCTCACATCTTAGCCTTCTAATTAGCTAGGATTACAGGTACAAGCCACGGATACCCAGCTTGGATATTATTTGAGCCACAGCTCTTTTTAACATTCCAAAAGACTAAAAAATTTTAAAAAAATAGATTAAAAAACCCTAAGAAATTATCAGGCAAACAGGATTACAAATGTACAATAATGCATGCTGTTTTTCCTGAGTAACTCTGTAACTTTCACATGTAATTCTTCCCTAATTTTATGCATTAAAAAATTCAGATAGTATCAGAACTGATATATTCTCTATGGTTCCATACCTAATTTTGTGGATTCTCAGAGAGATTTGATTTCTTTTCTATTGGCTCATGTTCTACTCTCTTGAAAACTTTTCCTAAAGTAAAACTGAATTAGATTATGTTCTATATAAAAGGTGTTCTGCATGTTGTGATCTATCTTTTAAATTCTCATACACATGAGTATATGAAGTCCCAAGGAAAAGAAAGAAAAGTCACTTGTTTTATCTACATGCTCTTTTCCTACAGTCCTTTATTGGACCAAACTTGATCCATTAATTCACAGAACACATACAAAGGAAATTATTTTCCATAACTGTTTCACTAGTGCCATATAACACTTTGAATTCTGCAATAAGATTCATAGAAAACTTGTTCCTGTGTTACCATTTACAAACCTTTCAAAAAAAAAGTAAGAACTTTCAAAAATCTCCCAAGACTAACTGTGAGACGAATTCCGTTTTACACTTACCTTCCTATAATGCTTGTCACCACTTTCGGATCCATGATCTGTTGCTCTAAATGCTGTCTCTCCAGGTGAACCTTGAAAAGAAATGAATCCTTTATATTCTCCAGTGTTGTCAACAGCTTGAATTCCAAATCATGTCTAATCAATTAAAGAATAAATAGGGAGGAGGTAGAGAAGGGACAAAGATGTAGCTTAGTGGTGGAGTGCTGTATGTTGGAACCTGGGGTAAAATCTCTTGCATGGCAAAAAAAGCAAACCAAGACAAAAAGGTATGGTGGTACACACCAGAAACCACAGCACCTGGAAGGCTGCAGCAAAAGGACAGAGCTCCAGGCCAGCCTGGGCTATATAAAGGCCCTGACTCAAAAAGAGACTATAAATGAATTCCAGAGCAACTTAAGTTCAAAGCATCAAATCACTTTTTATCTTAATATTACTAGCAACTTATTTACAAAGCTGTTTTTTTTAAGTTATAGCCTATTTAACTGTTAAAAATGTATTACGAAAAATTATGAAAAAAGATAATCTTTGATAGGTTTATCTTTTACATGAGCATTCTTATAGTTTACCCAAATACCACTGCCATCCGACCACATATATACTCAAAGTTTAACATGTCAACTATGACAGGGCAGATGAGACAAACTAAAATTACTTTTCATTTCAATTATCAAAAACAATTAGATCTATTTCAAGAAAATATTTTGACTAAGCAACTTTACTTTAATAGCTTTAATTTTAAGCATATTTAGGAACATATGTTCTTTCACAAAATAATCATTTTATTATTCCCATCTAAAGGATAATGAGTTTGCCTAATGTAATTCTTAAGTTTTAAAATTTAGCATAAGCAGCATTACAAATTTGGTTTGCAACTGTATTTGCAAGTAGTTTATTAGAAGCATTTAGAAGGCATGTTAAGGTCAGCAAAAATGTCTGTTTACACACCTAACAAGAGAAGTAGGTCAGAAGCTTCTATGACTTCACTAACCAATTTGTGACCTGTGAAAAATCAGCAAAAGGGAAATAAAAATGTAAACTTTAATAGGAATGATCAAACAAAGATGTCTGAGCTCTCAGACCTCTATCACAATAGTGTAATAATTGGGCAAATATGCCAGACTAATGTTAAAAATTCTTTTCATATGGTTCATCACATTAAATTTTGTTTTAAAATCATCGTATTGCCTCCAATGAACTATGAAAAGCAAATACATAGGAAGTCTCATCTACTTGTCAAAAACAAGATATTTATTCCTTCATTGACTAAATGCCAACACATTTTCTTATAAGTTTCCACTACCTTGGGCCAAGCACTGAATTATCATTTCACAGACTGGCTGAATGATGCACAGATTAAAACTTCTATGCAACAAAATGGCATGCTCATCATTTTTAAAAAATGTTTTTATTTGTACTAAATGTTTGATTTAAAAGATTAAACAGCAAATTTATATATGTATATATACACACTTATTCACTCCCCCCTCCCTCCCTCACTGCATACTTCTGTGGCTCTTAAATCTTTAAATTAGATCAAAGACGTCTCTCCATACCTGTGGTGAAAAAGTCTTTCAGTAAGCTGAGGCTTTCAACGATTTTGTCAAGGTCTGGTGCTAACTTTGCAAGGTCTTCTGCATTAGGAAGAGCTTTTTGAATTTTCTCTGGAGAAAAACAAAACATATAAACAGTCACAATTACTCTCAAAGTAAGAATATGTGTCAAATAGTAATCTACGAGCTACCAAAGTATGAGCTTGCTTATACTTCACAGCAGCTCTACAAAGTATCTATGGCTGTCAATCATGTTTATAGATGAGGCAGGAAGTGAGGGAGTCAGGGAACTGGCACAGTCCAGCTGCAGAGAATAGATCTCAGCCACTGTACTAAGACATTGGCAAACATATCAAGGTAAAAAGTGTTCTTCATATATATTATAAAAATAATGTCAAAGTGCACTTTTCCTAAAAATCCCTTTGTCAACATAGCATTTGTCTTTCAGAAGTGCTGTAGGCCAGGTGGTGGTGGGTAGCTCACTTATAATCCTAGCTACTCAGGAGGCTGAGATCTTAGGGTCACAGTTTAAAACCAACCCAGGGAAAAAGACTGTGAGACTCTTATCTCCAATTAATCACCCAAAAAGCCAGAAGTAGAGTTGTGGCTCAAGTGGCAGAATGCTAGCCTTGAGCTGATAAAGCTAAGGGACAGTGTTCTGGCATTGAGTTCAAGCCCTAGGACCAGAACAACCCCCCCCCCCAAAAAAAAAAGTGCTGGAAGTAAGTACACATAGAGAGTAATTTTACCTTCATATATCCTGGGTGAGAAATTAGATAGTGCTTTTACATCTGGACTAAGTAAATGACAAAAAATGCTTTTTAAAAGAAATACTACAATGAGTTCCTAGCGATCAGCTATCAAATATATTTTTTCCCTAATGATTTTTTGAAAAAGGGAGAGGGAAGTATCTCACTTAGGAGAAAAACCACTTTAGATACTAACAGATTTAAGAAACCAGGATACAAAAAGAAGTAATCAAAGCACCCAATCTACCCCTGTAGGTTAGGTGGATCAGGCCATACTGTATCATGCTGAAAGTTATGTCTAGAAAGGCTGAGTGCAGCACTGCAATCCTGACCAAATGCGCTAGGCGTTGGAAGACAAGACACCAAAACACATGTCTTGATGACTATACAACTTTTAAAAAAGAAATTGAAACAGAGCCACATACAAATAATGAGTACAACTAAAAGAAAACATTATGTAATTATGTAGCTATGTCAAAATGATAAGATTATTGGATATATTTTAATACAGATTTCTTTGATAGCCTACTACTTTGAGTGTTGAAACTTTATTATATATTATGTTCAAAAAGTTAAGAAACAACCTTAACAGAACTATTTCAGTTTCCTAAAGAAATAACCTACAAATGAATTGAATGTTGATGATACAAACCAAAATCAATATACTCATCAATTTCCCACACAATGTCAGGTATAATCCATTTATAGTCACTAAGGTCTGGTATCATATCTCTCCACTGATCAAAAGTCTAAAAAGTAAGAAAAAATTTCAATCAGATACTGTGAATGCCCTAGAGATTTGTAAAAAGAAACAAACAAACAAAAACCTCTTATGTTAATTAAAATGTCAATCTATGAAAGTACAACATATCATATATGACTTGTAAAAAGAAAACAAAATTATGTGGCCTCAGTTCTTTTTCAAAAACAAACTCACAAGTAAGCATATAAAATACAGACATAGTCCTCTACTAAATATCAAATGTAAAAACTCCAATGTACTCCTATTTCAAAGAGGTTTCATTTGGCATTAAACAGACCAGAGGACAGGAGATTCCTAAGACATGGCTTTGTTAGTATGCCATTTAATTTTCCTGTCTTTGCTATTAAATGGCAAAACTCTGAATTAAACCTCTGTGTTTTTCTGGTCCAAGTCTTTTTTCTAGGCAATTTTTATCTCCAATAATTATAACTAAAATTCAGAAGACATTTTCCTATTACTGCCATCACAACAATCTACTACATGGTAAATACGTATAATAAATGTTTAAACATCCAATTATATTTTACTATGCTAAAGAAAAATTACCTGTGCTATAAAAATTATAAATAATCAGGCTGGAATAACTAGAGAACAAATAAGGAAATTAAACTCACCTTTTTGGCTGTGTAGCCACCCCCAACAGCAGATCCCAGTATGAGATACCGAAGTCTTAAGAGTCGTGCTGCTAACCTAGCTGGCCAGAAATTCCTGCGAGGCTGGTAGCCATATTTAACTGGAGAAAGTTTCAATTTACGTAAAGGTAGGTTAGTTAAAGAAGAGAATTGCTGAAATGATGTTTTCACTTGGGGTCTTTGAAGCTTTAAGGTAGGACAATGTGAATGAGAAATACTTCGTGAAATCAGATGCAGTTTTTGGAGTGGTAAACTTCCTTTTGTCCCAGAGCTGTGTTTCACCAAGGATTGGCAAACCTCACTGAAAGAAAACAAGTATGGGAGAAAGATCAGACATGGTAACAAGGCAAAGAAAATGTCAGTAGAAAGGGAAATGCACATATGACCTACCGTGATCTATGTCATTACCCAGCTATTACACAGCAGGCATTGCTGCAGCTTGTGCTATCTCATTCAACTCTGTTAACAAGGTTGTCAAGAACCTTGTAGTATCATCCTAATTTTACAAATAAAGAAAATGTTCCAAAAGGAAATGAACACTGATGCAAGAAACAATGGTGCAATTCAAATTCAGGCAGGTGGACTTCAGACCTGGCACTAGAGGAACTCCAGGACAGAGGTCAGCCCTTCTGTTTTTATTTTTATTCTTCCCCTCTTTTGCTCCCAAATCCCTAAAGTTCTTTTCCCCCAATGGTGACATTAGCATTATAAGGCCAGGTGCTGGTGGCTTATTCCTGTAAGCCTAGCTATTCAGGAACCAGAGATCTGAGGATCCCATTCAAAGCTAAACTAGGCAGATAAATCAGAGAGATGCACATGTCCAGTTAACCAGCAAAAAGCTAGAAGTAGAGGCCTAGTTCAAATGGTAGTGGAAAAGCCAAGTGAGTGTGAACGTGAAGTCTTGAGTTCAAACTTCATTATCAGCACAAAAGAAAAAATTATGAGCAAGAGGCAGAGGCAGGTCATACGAGTCCAGTATTTTATGTCAGTAATTACAAGTAAAATGTCCTTTGTTCTTTCCATCTGTCACTAGGAAGAGGTAACTGAGGCTATGCAAATCCTAGCACCTAGAAATACTTCTACAATTTCCAATTCAAAAGATAAATGGTAGTACAAGGGGGGACTGTTTTACATAAGGTCCCCTTGAGATACAGGCAAGAGAGTGAAAAGAGAAGTAATTGAGATTTACTAGAGCAACATTTAAGGAAATGGTGCTTGGGCCATCCTCCAGTCTTTTCCAATATAGCTTTATCTTAAGGGCAATAATTCTCTAGAGGTTGAGCAATTTGTCAGGAAAAAGCATGTATATGGGAGGGGCAGGGTGAACAGGTTTGGGACTTCTAAGAGAGAATATCCAATAATACTAGCATTTGTAAGGAGCTCATTTCCTAAAACAAAGCTTGCTAGTTGATATAATATGCCTAAAGCACAGATTGCTCTATCAAAACTCTCAATCAGAAGTAACCTGAGCAAGGTACCTGCATCAATCATTAATCCTTTATACCCAGACTCTTGTAGAAGACCAGCAAGTCTTAAAATAAGGACCAGAATAAAGAACATTATAAGTCCTAGAAAAAAAGCAGACATTACATGTTTATTAGTATTGTTAGGAGAATTCCTTTAAGAATTTCAAACATTAAGAGAATATTATCTTCAAAAATATCAAAGAACAATACAAAGTGGGTGCAGTGGCTCATGCCTGCAATCCTAGCTATACAAGAGGTTGAGTTTGTATAATGATGGCACTTTGAGGCCAGCCTGGACAAAAAGTATGTGAGACTCCTACCTCAACCAATAGTTGGCACAGCAATATATATATATATGATCCTAGGAGGATCATGAAGATCATAGTTCCAGGTTATCCCTGGTGAACAAATTAACAAAGCCCCATCCCCCCAGAAAAAAGAAAAGAAAAAGAAAAAAATACAGTTTAAAGAATTACATGTTTTAAATAATATTTTTTAAAAGAGCTTGGTAAATATTAAAATGTTGTCCATGGAAACCAAAGTTGCTATATATATTATACACACACACACACATTATCTGTCTGTCTGTCTGTCTATCTATCTATGAAATTCCCTAGAGTGTAGAATAAAGGAAACAAAAATAGGAAACACAAAAGAAAACCTAAGTGGTATGGAGTTGCAATATCTTAAGTGGGTAGCAGGAGATGGGAGGGAAATGAAACCATGGGGTGAAGAAAATGATCCACAGGGATTAAGGAAGAAAACTCTTAAAGTTTGTAGACAGCATGTTTTGTATACTACTCTATAAGATTGCATTAGAGTAGACTCACATGTAGACAGCTTATTAGTGCAGAGGGACACATGTATAATTTTAAAATAAATGCATACACATTTGGGATAAATGTGTATGTATATATCTTGCTTATAGATGTATAAGTATAGTTTATACCTTCTGTGTATTTTTTGACATATGAAGGATATAGCTTGTATTTTGGAAATCACAGGTATGAAAGATCAAGCTAAGAGGATTATTATACACTGAAATGGTGTCCAAAATGAAATCGAATGACAAAACAAAATGAAAAAAATAAAGACACAAGAAAAAATTTTCAAAATGAAGGAAATGGAACTTATTAATAGAAAGGTCATGTCAAAGGCTTGAAATGCAAAAGCATCCATGAAGACAAAAACAAACTTTTAACTTCAAGCAAAAGTAAAAATCAAATGTGATGCAAAACTAGATCTCCCAGAAATCTAGTCTCTTGCTCCATCATTTCTTTTAGCCTATATATAATTCTCCTATACACAATTCTTTTTAAAATTAAGTTTACATGAATATTTATTACATCCATATAGATGCCCCAGAACATATATTTATAAATGTATGTCAGAAAAATTTATGCTCCCCTCTATTGAAGAGTAGGAACAACCTGTACTGCTTCATAACATGCAAAGAAATAATAGAAAAAGACAAATCCTGGAGCTTAGGGATGCTTACTTTCTCCATCTCATTTTATTCTAGTAGCTACATTGTGCTAGTAGCATGAAGTATTTCTAAGCCATGAGTCTGTGGAATGTGTAACTTCAGAAACAATTTAATCAAACATCATACAATTAAGCAAACAAATAAGGCAGTAAAAATTATGTCAGATTGGTTTTAAACCCAATTTTCAGAAGGTTTTCCCGCACAACTTCATTGATCCAATAAGGCATGTATATTTTATCCCTCATTTTCTTTTTTCTTTAATTTAAGGAACATTAGATGTTTCTTCTATTAAATGTTAAGAAGTAAAAAATATATGTTACAAATAACCAGGACTGTCAATTTATACCCCAAATTAATACTCCATGAGATAAAAATAACTATATTGTACCTCACCCAGTTTGCTTGGAGACTCTAATTAAGCTGCCCCCCCAAAAAAAAATTCAACGGATTCCATTCCTCATAAAGACTCCAAATTATCTACACCACTTAAAAAGTTCTGGAGAAATTCAAGATCGATGTTTAGAGAGGGAGATGATTCTGGAAAATTAAGTTTTCCTGGTCTGCCTTGAGACATATTACTTCTTAACAAATGCCTGGAATTATGAGTACGGCTTGGAAATTACCTAAGAACAAATGATGTCTAATGTCACATTTAATATTACTAACCATATATTAACTATATATGTGACATTAGACATCATTTGTTCTAACCACTTGAGATAATTTCCAAGCCTTACTCATAGTTATATAAGTATAGTATATATGGCAAGCCACGGAAACAAAACGGCTTCTATGATTTCAAAATCATAGATTAAGCCAAACCTGGGCAATGGTGACAGTGTGACTGGAAAGGTGGTACCCATTCTTCACTATTTATCTAAAAAAGTAAATCTCCTTCCAAAAGCCTTGAAAAGAACTGCTGTGAAGAGGGCACCCCCGAACATTATCTCCGACAACGTGTGCGTCCCAGCTTAGACTCCACTCAGGAGGTTAGGGAGACGCGCAGAGAGAGGCCCCCTTCTCCTGGCAGAGGAGCTCAAGGCGCCTGCAGGTGCAGTGTGCGTGCAGACGGCACCGAGGTGCAAGGAGGAGAACGGGTTAAAAGAGAACGCCTTGGAGAACGGTCCAAGGACAGAGCCAGTCCCGAAAGGGAGAGAGGAACGACGGCAGCAGCCAGAGGCAGAGTTCACGGCGGAGTCAAAAGGGGATGAAGGCCGGGGACACAAGGACAACAGACAGGGGCCAAGAGCGGCGCACCGGACCGGGCCAGGGGCGAGGGCCGGCACTGAACCCGGCTCTGCCCGAGAACAAAGCTCCGTCAGATCTTCCTCCAGAGGATCCAGGAATTCTCCACCCGCCCTCGGTCGAGCCTCGGGGTTACCTGAACATCCCGCGAGCGATGCAGGGCGACGGGGTTCTCCCAGAAACCGGGAATCACGGGGCCGGGTGGGAGGCTGCACTTACCAGGCCACGGCGGCCCGACGTAGTCGCCACATCCCGCGGGAGGGGAGGTCACACAGGCGCCCAGACGGCCACGTGGGCGCCCCCGTGTCGGCCCCAGTCCCGCTTCGGCTCCAGGAATGACCCAGGAAGAGGCCCTCGGCAACAAGGGCACTCGGCAATAGCCGAGTCCCTCCCAATGGCTCATGGACTTCCGCAAAGGCCTCTCCGGCACCCGTACTCAGTCCGACACCGAAAGAAGCACGCCACCCACGCTAGAGAGGCAGCACAAACGGTCCGCCCAGATCTGGCGCATGCGCCTACAGCCTCTGGGCCGGCCAACCGCGCTGCGTCTCTCCCCGCCCACCCGTCCTCGCCCCGCCCACCCTGTCCTCATTGTTTTCGGATTCGAATTCTGAATTCTGGCATCCTGAATTAAAGAAAGAACTGTGAGCTGGGCGCTGGTGGTTCACGCCTGTAATACTAGCTACTCAAGAGGCTGAAATCAGAGAAGGACAGTTCTAAGCCAATCTGGGCAGAAAAGTTTGAGACCTTATGTACAGTTAACCAGAAAAAGCAGGGCTGGAGTTGTGGCTCATGTGGTACAGTGCACACACAGACAGACAGACAGACACACACACACACACACACACACACACACACACGAGGAGGGCACAAGGGGAAAGGGAAGAGAGAGGAGAGGAGGACATCTGAACTGGTAAGATGTTTGTACTGACAAAGCACAAGGGAATCCACAGAATACAAAATGAATAGAATATAGTCATTGAATAGAGTAATTAAATAAACAAAATGGTTATTCTTTGCCCTACCACTTTTCATCTTTGTTGAAAATAACTTCATATCCTAGCAGCAAACATAGGAGGCAAGCATGGAGTTATGCGTAGAATAGGTGTTTCTGAATCTCAGATCAAATCTGAAAGGGCCTCAGGTAATTTAAACCAGCATTTGGTTTGGAATAAGCATGGGTAGTAGATGAAGGTATAAATGACTTGTTCACTCATTCTTTAGCCATCTTTCATGTGAATTTTAACCCAATTTACTTGAAATGGTCCTTGTCAATGTCTCCTGCAATTCCATATTGCTAGTGATCAATGGCCCCTCAGTACTTTCAGGTAAACACTGATTCCTCCTTTTTGGCTTTCAGGGTTTTTTTTTTTTAGGACTTCATATTTCCTCTTTTCCCCCTTTAAGCACTGCTGTTACTTAGTTTCATTTGCTGCCCACTTTTCTCCCAAATTAATCAATTTTGGGAATTCCTCCATCTTGGACATCCTGGATACATCCTGTTTTCTAGCTACAGTTGGTCCTTATGCAAGCCAGTTTCAAATCAAAGTTAGCTTTCTTCCTCCAATTCAGAGAAGGAAGATAGCCTGCAAAAAGTTATGAAACCAATTAATATTATAGTTGTTCTTAAAATTAAAATATGCAGTACTCCAGTTTTAGTTCAAGGATAATCCCTTTCCCTCATTCAGATTTACAAAAAATAAAATTTCTCTGTGGTGCCAAGAGAAATCATTTTTCTTGAATTAAGTTTTGTTCCCTTCTTGCCTACATGTCTTTATGATATTCTTGCTTAATTCCTGAAGCATGCTAATTAAGTCTGTGCACAGGGGAAAGGTTAGAGAAACAGAGCTGCTTTTTTTTTTTTTTTTTTGCTTTTTACGAAAGGGTACAACTTCTTTAGGGGGTATAAATCTTAAGGTGAATGATAGATTGCTTATGTGCTTTTAATCAAGCTTCTCAGTATGCCATTTATCTGTAAATTTCTGACTACTGCTTCCTTACCCTTCATTTTCCTTGATGTATATTTTCCTTCTCTCAAAACTATGCTCAAGTACCTATTGACCACCAGTATGTTTCCCACTTTCAATAACTATATGATATAGAGTATTCAATACTACATAAAACAGACTTTGTGTCATATGACCTTGCCCAACCTTAAGGCTAATATATGTGTTCTGAGCACATTGAATGGAGGCTGAGTAAGCTATGTTCTATGTATGAAATGTATTTTTGTATGATACTTTAAAATTATGATATTTTATTATGCTATAATCTATCATAAATTGAGAGGCCAAATGTATTGTGCTATATGGGAAGAAGAACAAACTGTTACATAATCAAACTGTTTCCATTGGCTCAAATTCAACCCACAAATTTGTTACATTTAGCTACATTGTTGCCCCATACAAAGTTTAAAAAATAATACCAGAATGAAAGAATACAGGGTACTAATTTGTTTGCATGTATGAAAATGGGATAATCCGATCTGTTGAAAATATTTTGGTTTGTCCCTGTAATCCCAACTACTTAGGAAACTCAGATCAAGGGTTGAATGAAACAGAAAAATCTGAAACTTTTCTTTCCAGCTAACCAACAAAATAAGAAGTGTAGCCGTGGCTTGAGTGCTAGGTGCCAGATTGAAAAGGAAAGCCAAGCCAAGGTGAGAGGCCCTGAGTTCATGCCCCAGTACTAACACACAAAAGATAAAAAAAGGCCTAGTTAATAAATGGACTAAAGACTTAAAGAGAGACTTCTCTGAAGAGGAAATAAGAATGGCCAATAGGTACATGAAGAAATGTTCAACTTCCCTAGCCATAAAAGAAATGCAAATCAAAACACATTGAGATTCCACCTCACCCCAATTAGAATGGCTATAATCAAGAACTCTAATAACAACAGATGCTGGAGGGGATGTGGCCAAAAGGGAACTCTACTGAATTGTTGGTGGGAGTGTAAACTTTTTCAACCACTTTGGAAAGCAGTACGGAGGTTCCTCAAAAGACTACACATAGAGCTCCCCTATGACCCAGCAATCCTACTTTTGGAATTTACTCAAACAATCACAAGGCCATTCTAAAGCTACCAGCACAACTATGTTTATCGCAGCATTATTTACCATAGCAAAGATATGGAACCAACCCAGATGCCCCTCAGTAGATGATAAATCAAGAAAATGTGATATATATACATGTATATATATATATATACATATATATATATATATAAAATGGAATTCTATGCCTCCATCAGAAAGAATGACATTGCCCCATTTTTTAGGAAATGGAAAGACTTGGAAAAGATTATATTAAGTGAAGTAAGCTAGGCCCAAAGAAACATAGGTCCCATGGTTTCCCTAATTTGCAATAACTAGTATATGTCTAGGATAAACAGAAAAGCTAAAAAGCTATATTCATATGACCATATAACCTGATGCTAAGCAAAATGAACCCCAAGATAGGGACACAAGTGGTTTTATCTTTTTTGCTGTTGTTTTTAATGTACTTATAATGTACTATGTAATTTTTTGGTTTCTTTTGTATGTTCTTCCCCCATGGTATAACCTTTGTTTTCACTGTATTTGATTCCAGTGTCCTGCATTTTGTATATACATTTTTCTAATTTGGGAAGGGGAAGGGAAATAATAAAATGCTGAAATAAGGATACAGGTTGTCCCATTGTAACAAAGAGATGTCCAAGATACTAGGTTGAAAACGAACTTTACAACTTCGGGGTTGGGGGGAGTGAAGGAATGGTAGGGGGAAAAAAGGAGGGGGTAACAATGCTCTATAGGAAATGTACTCATTGCCTTACTCATGTAACTGTAACTCCTCTGTACAACATCTTTACAAATCAAAATATACTCATGTAACTGTAACTCCTCTGTACAACATCTTTACAAATCAAAATATATACTAAAAAAAGAGGTGATATTGACCTAATTTTAAAAAAAAAGAAAAGAGAGAGAGAGGGAGGGGGACAGAGATATTGTTCTAGGAAGGGTAGTGAGAATGAGGAGAGAGTATAGGAGGGTGCAATTGATATTTGTATGCATGTGTGGAAATGTTACAAGGATCCTCCCTTTGCCCAATTATACTGTATGCTAATAAAAGTTAAAAATATTACCTGACTTGTTGCTGACATTTGAAAACCTGGAATTTTCACATTACAAATACAGTTTCTCAAAATCGATGCTTTCCTGAGGTCAGTGCTGGAATTCCTTGGGAAAGGAAAGGCTCTCACAGGCACTAGAGCCTCGAGCTCTGGAGTGGCAGCAGCTAGGGTTCCCAGAGAGGGGACCATTGGAGCTGGACGCACGTGGTGTTTTTGCCCTGATCACACTTTCCCAGTTATGCAACAGAATCTGTCTCCATGGTAGAATCTCTGCCATCCAGGTTAAAGGGACCCACAAGACCGTCAGGCCCATACCCATGTCCTGACTCCTGGGGACCCCGCCCATCACAGAACCTTCCCTATGGTGAGATCAACCCGGCAAATCTGCTATTGTCTCCAGCTCCCACCCAATCCATGGGCCTCCTCAACCTGCTGCAACTGTTGCCCACCTGTGTGTTTTTCTTGTTGGTGGCCAACATGAACACTGGGACAGGCTCGATGGATAACTGGTGGAAGTTGGCCTGCTGCTTCGGCGTCAACACGTCCTTCATCATCCTCATGGTGGAACTGGGTGGTTTCTAGACTCGATTCCCTCTTTCTTGGCACAACTTACCCTCCACAGACGCCTGCCCCTTCTGCCTATTCTCCACCTTCTACCCTACCATCTGCATGCAGTTCTTGTCTCCCAGTCACTGCCATTGCTGCCATTACCTCCTGTGTGATATGTGTGGCATATGCCATTCAAGTGGTCTGGACCAGGTGAGGCCCAGTGAAATCACTGGCTTCATGGCCATAATATGGGGGCTATTCAAGGTGCTAGATGGTCTGTGTCATCTTTGGCTTCATGAACAACACAGCCAGGACTTGCCTCAGATAGCCCTGGAGTGGTGCAGGGCTTTGTGCTCCACCCCCTTCCTCCAGCTTTTCCTGGCCATTCTGTTGAACTTGCAAACTGCACTAACATTTTGCCCCTCCCATTCCCCAGATTCCTGTCAGCTTGGTCTGATTCCATCAGTGTCCTCTGGCCTTTCTACCAGTTCCATGAGAAATATGGTAGATAGGCTCAGCCATAGGATGTGAACTGTGCTTACAGACATGGCCACTCCCTGTGTGACCACCAGCTGGCTGTAACCATCTCAACAGCCATCAAACTGCTGATGCATGTGGTGGGCCTGTGTGCCCTGCTCACTTGGTGTGTGTCAAGATCTGAGACTCACGAGAGGCTTCTGTGTGTCTCTTGCCCACTTCCTCATTCTTCTCATAGTGATTTGACTCTGGGGTCTTTACTTCCTGTTCTTCTCCCCCCATTCCCCCTTTCACTTGG